GTGTGTGTGTGTGTGTGTGTGTGTGTGTGTGTGTGTGTGTGTGTGTGCGCGCTCGCTCGCTCGCTCGCTCGCTCGCTCAAATAGTGTTACTAACCACTGTAACCTCCCTCCAGGAAAAGATGTGTTTGAAGCTTTTTATAAGAAGGACTTGGCCAAGCGTCTGCTGGTCGGCAAGAGTGCGTCTGTTGACGCTGAAAAGTCGATGCTCTCCAAGCTCAAACATGGTGAGTCCGAAGTCTTCTATCTTAAATTAGCAAATTAATTCCCAGTAGTATAGCTGAACAGATAATGCGAATTCTGAGATAGTCTCTCATGGTGATATTTTGTGGGTTTGGCTTCCTCCAGAATGCGGAGCAGCATTTACCAGTAAGCTCGAGGGGATGTTCAAGGACATGGAGTTGTCCAAAGACATCATGATCCAGTTCAAACAGGTACTTCCCATCTCTGTGCACATAGACACACTTGAGTAGCTTTAAAATATGGACGCCGTGTTTACAGCACGTGCTGTCCTTTTTATTGGGCTTTTCATGTGTAATTGAAAAAGTTGTATTTCTGCTCAGTATATCCAGAACCAGAGCGAGCCCAGCAACATAGAACTTACCGTCAACATCCTCACTATGGGCTACTGGCCTTCATACATACCCATGGAGGTCCACTTGCCCCCAGAGGTAAGCATCTCTCTTTGTCCACACTACGCTTTATGAGTCATGGAAGCAGTTTGATTTATAGTACGTGGGCAGCAACACGGTGGAGTTATTGAAGAAAACATTGTCAAAAGAAAAGTTGACTGTGTTGTACTGGTGAACTCTGAGCGTGGCAGGGTCGTCAGCTTATCCTTAACAGACTGTGATAAGGACAGTCTGGGTACACGGTTCATCTCTTAATGTTTGCGGTAGATGGTAAAACTCCAGGAAGTGTTCAAGCTGTTCTACCTGGGGAAGCACAGTGGGAGGAAGCTGCAGTGGCAGCCCACACTGGGCCACGCTGTACTGAAGGCAGAGTTCAAAGAGGTAAGGGCCACGGGGCCTCCTAACATTCAGAAGAGAGACAAATTGGCTCGAGAAAACGTCTGAAGTTCTCTTACAACGACTACTTTATCCTGCAGGGTAAAAAGGAGCTGCAGGTCTCGCTGTTCCAGACGCTGGTGCTGCTGATGTTTAACGAGGGAGAAGAATTCAGCATGGAGGAGATCCGCACCGCCACCGGCATAGGTTTATACCTGTCTTTTGAACATGTAGCACAACTATTCTATTGTTTAAGAGTTCTGTATCACAATCTCTCTTTCGCTCTCGTCCTGCACAGAGGAGGAAGAGCTCAGGCGCACACTGCAGTCCCTGGCCTGCGGAAAAGCACGTGTCCTCAACAAGAACCCTCGAGGGAAAGACGTGGAAGATGGAGACCGTTTCAATTTCAACAATGATTTCAAACACAAACTGTTCCGCATTAAGATCAACCAGATCCAGATGAAGGAAACGGTAAAAAGAAATATATACTGGCACATTTCTTTCTTTCTTCACACACTTTTTTTTTTTGTTTTAAAGGTTGGTTGTTATCCATTTTGAAATGCATTTCCCTTACAGGTAGAGGAGCAGGTAAGCACCACAGAGCGCGTGTTTCAAGACAGGCAGTATCAGATCGATGCCGCTGTGGTGCGCATCATGAAGATGAGGAAGACCCTCAGTCACAACCTTCTGGTATCAGAGCTCTACAACCAGCTGAAGTTCCCTGTAAAGGTGACGTATCTTAAGCATCCTGTTCTCACTATTTCCATTTTCCTTCACACACACGGAGCTCATCAGCATCTGACTTGCTTTCCTCTCCACAGCCGGGTGATCTGAAGAAGCGGATCGAGTCGCTCATAGACAGAGACTACATGGAACGTGACAAGGAGACTCCTAACCAGTACCACTATGTTGCCTGAAGGGACTCCAGTGTTACTGCCGTGCTTTCCTCAAAGCAAGCCGACAGCTGGCCCCCCCCTAAAACAGCATTACAGCCCTTCAGCCACCTGACTCTCCTCTGGTGCCCGTCTTTCCCTCCATCCACAATCCTGGACGCAGCGTCCAGATCCCACAGAGCTCCAGAGAGACGAGAGAGACTTGGCTGTACTGTTCCCACTCTGCGTTATCTTTAGTGGGTGGCCCAGGGTTGGTGATGGACTTACAAAACTGCTAATGCAAAACTCAAATGAAAATAACTAGCACTTTCATCTGTTTTTGTTTAGTTTTTTTCTTCTCCTCCCTGGGATTTGGATTTTGTTTTCTTCTTCTCCTCCACCACGTCGTTCTAACATCACTTATTTTCTACCATAGTTGGTTTGTCTTTGAGTTTTAAGAATTTTATTTGTTTTGTTTGTGTTCAAGGCGTTCACTTTATGAATGATTGCATAAACTGCTGAGTGTGACCCTCGTTGGCTGGTTGCTTGATTTGGCAGAGAAGTGGCTGCAGAAGAAGAGACTTGAGAAGGATGCAGTGGGTCGGAGGGGAGGGTTCATCGCTTGTAGCACAGAAGCTAAACGACTGGCCGGCAGAGCCAATTGGGTATTTCTTTGGGTATCTTATATGTTTTGACCAAAATGTCCAAATGTCATGTGCTGACGGTTTTTTGTAGATCAGATTGTATTCTATGTAAGAGTGAGAAAAGTGAACCTGAATAAATGGATATTTAATGATTCAATGAATGATTTGTAGATAAACAGCTAGTGGTAGTGTTTTTTTAAATTAACACGTTTCCTCTATCGGCTTCAACTTGCTGCATACTTCATCATGCGGGCAGTGTACAACTCCTTTAGCCTAATCTCATTAGGTCAATTGCATCTTTGTAAAGACAAAACAGGTTATTACTAGTGGATTATGGGCAGCTGATGAGTACCAAGTGTGTCTAATATGCAGCTACTGTACATGGTGTGCAGTTTAAATATCAAAACATGGCCAATACTAAATGATCAATAAGAAAGATGTCTGATCTCTTTCCATACACGTGATTGTGAGGCGCTTATGCTCTTTCCACTTTGACAGAAATTAGCAATTCAGGATTTTAATATCTCAAGTTACTGGAAGATGGAACCGAAAGAGTACGTCTTAATACTTTCACTATCACAGTGGGGAATGTACAGCTTTTGTATGATTGTGAAATAGAGCTTAAACAAAGGGGTAAGTTGTCTTGGTGTCATTATAAGACAAGAAAACGACATGTCTTTGTGAAGGAGCGTGGTTGAACTATGCAGGGAGAATGTAGCAGGGCCCTGATAAATCCCGGGCACGGCATTAAAGCAGCATTTGCGTTCCTCTTTGGGTTTTGCACACCCTCGTGAACTGATGATGGTGTCAGCTGACTACCCACAACACATGCACTTTGCAGCCTGACCAGCTGAGTGTGTGTGTGGACTCTCACATGCTACAATCCCATATAGAAATGTTGTAATATTATTCCTGGAAGTTAACTTTTTTTCCTCTGTTGTCTCTTTACACCCACCCGACATTATGTACAGTTATGTAAGTCTTATTCAGCAGCAAACCTCTTACACGGGACAAAACTGTGTTAACTACTGCTCTGCTGTAACATTTAGCCTTTGTTAATGGAGCAGTGGACAGTCTGAGGATTGCCTCGCACCGCGCTCGTGAAAGAAGGGAGGGTGGTGGTCTCACGTGACTGCGTGGCCTCACGTGACTGCGTGGCTCTGAGCTCTGCCAGTTCACATGACGGAGACGTTTGGTTTATTCAGTCGCTTTTAGCTGTCACCGACATCTAACCGCGTTTATTGATAGCGTCTGTTAGCAGGACGTGCTTTAGGAGTATTCACAACTCTTGCCCGTGTACTCGCACAGCAGAGCGACGTAAATCTCAACAGGAAGAAGAAGAACAGCAGCGACGCCACAGTTGTAGCTAACGCTCCGTGTAGTCAGGTGCAGTTCTCCGCGTAGACCCACCTGCGACAGCACCACCACCTCCTCCCCGGGCTTGTATCTCTCAAAACAAAAGCAAGGAAAGGAAACCCGCGCTGGAAGGATGAAGCTCTCTCACGCTTTGTCCGCGCTCATCATCGCCTGGTTTGCAGATTTAGGTGAGTGTTTTTGCGGATGTAATAAAGCTTCTCATCCCCGTCGGACTGAACGACGTCACGCCGCCTGCCCGCTGGTCGGTTGAGGTGTCGGTGTTCACCTCACCTAGCTTACATGTTCCCTCGTGTAGCTGAAACAGGTTCGTCGCTAATCAAGAAAATGATCGGGTTGATTGACAGTGAAAACAACCGTTAGTCGGTTAATAGCTGTTGAAATGTAACGTCATAGCTATGACGTAGTCATGTGTGTAACGTCACTCGAGTGTAACTAGCAGAAATGATATATTATATTAATAAGGGACTTTCTGGTGTAGGCCGGTAACTAGTGGGCACGTTATCCCTCCAAGTTTGACCAAAAAGTGGATCAGTGCTGGAAACATAGACGTTCAAAGTCCCACGTGAGCCTGTCTTAAAACGAAACAAAGGTAATCTGTCCTCAGGTAGACCAGACTCACTGGAGACGTCCCTGTGCTGTATTCTATTCTAATGTAACACCCAGGATGTGTTACTGCTGTGGACCAGCAGATTGGCCTCTCTGTTGTGTCATTGGAGAGCTTCACGTGACCACTGTGATGGCTTTGTGTTGCACACAGCCCAGTGGAGGCCTACTGACCACCAGAACACACACACACACACACACACAGACCCCTGGCTGCTGATAAAGGAAAACAGGCCAATGCAGTTGTCGAGTAGTTGCAGTATATTTTTATTTTCTACCATCTAATACTCTTACTTAATAACACAGGGCCTGGCGACCTTAGAGTTCACAGCCTGCCTGCACCAGCATTTCCTCTCAACACAAGCAGCAGAGTCGGGACTCCTTTCTGTTTTGCTATCTTCTCCACGCCGACCGCCTAATGCTGCTATCTGTAGCTCAATACTTTGTACACACACACACAGGCGCTTTCACCTCATTATCAGATTGCAGTGTTGTGTAAAGGTCTGCTGCGTGTTTACAGGGTGAACAGAGAGGTGGCACTGGGGTCAGGTTTCAGCACCGCAGCAGAGGAGGGACTGACAGAGTGAAGTACACTGATCTTCACAATACATGATATTAAGGGAGAAAGATGAAGAATATGAAAGAGGGAGGAGCTCAGTCAGCTGAGCAATAAGTGAGTTATGACAGAACCAATATCATGGCCCACGAGCCAAATGTCTCAGCGATGTAACCAGATACTATTTGGAGCATATTTTTAATTACACAAATCCTTCTTTGAAATATATTATTTATAGTGGCAAGGGAATTTTGAAACCTGCTAGTGTTGATGGCCTGTGGGTAGGATCATTATTTATTTACCTGAATAAAGAAATAAAACAATCTAATAACATGCAGTACATTAAATAAGAATCTGTGCTGTTGGAAAGTTAACCAAAAGTGGCCACAAACTGCCTCAACTCCTGTGTAGACTTTCTGGGAAGTGTGAAGCAAGTGATGAAACTCCCAAAAATGAAAACGGGTGAGAACGTTTTTTTTTTTTTTAAGTGTTTGATTTGTGGGCTTGATAAAAGGCCACCTTAGTATTCAAACAATATGTTTGGGAACTACAGCCACTCTCACACACACAACTGTGACATGGCAGGTTCCGAGGGATGAAGGTTTTAATACCATGCAATTGTGGAAGTTGCCAGGTGGGCCGAGCCAACAATTACGACTCCATCGCCAGGAGAGGTTCGGTTACACCTGTCACAAGTAGCTCTATTGAGCTGTGTGGGAAAGAGTCCGGGTCAGTGTGTGGTGTTGGTCTCTCACTCGGCTGTCTGCAGACCTCTGGTGGTGTTTTGTGTGAACTGCTTTATTGTGTATTTGTTGGCATGACGTCGTATGTCGTCACTGCTGTTATCTGTACTCATGCTGTGACCTTTATAACCAGGCAACCCAGATCATGATCATGATTACGTAATAAACGTACAAGTGTGTCTTCTAATAATACAATGAAGTTAGTTTAACTGATTACTACTATTTGCCCGAAATATTGGAGAAAGACACCTGAAAGTCTTTTTTGCACTATATTTCAATTTTGAGTGATGTTTCTTATTTCTGGAAATGATTTTCCGTATTATTTCACTGCTGCGCATCCCTGCTCATCACGTTCTCCTCTACAGGCTGTATTCAGGCGGTTACTCTGGAGGTGAAGGAGGGGAACTCCACCTGCATTAAGGCCGAGCTCTCTGCAACGTTCTCCATCACATACAACACCTCCAGCATCACGGTATGTAAAGAGACGGCAACACCTCCATCTCTGAAAGCAGCTGTATTGATAATCTCTTTGTGAACGCCGGTCTCATCGCTCGTCTTTCCTCAGAGAACAGTGCAGGTCCCTCTGCCCGGCTCCACCACGGTCGACACAGTCAGCAGCTCATGCGGCACAAACGACAGCTCACCGTGGTTGTTGGCGGTGTTCGGACCGGGCCACGCGCTGGGGCTGAGCTTTTCAACCAGTGGCAGCCTGTACAGCGTTGCTAACCTGTCGCTGAGGTACAACCTCAGCGACGCGTCCATCTTCCCGGAGGCCAACAGCTCCGGTGAGAGCAAACGCCGCAACAAACTGTTAACAGCGCAGAGCAGGTTCAGTTTACGTGTGGTTAAATGGATGTGATGCTTGTATAGACAATGACAATCACACCAGATCTTAATATTTAAAGTAAAGTAAATGAGTTGGACAGGCAAAAAAACACAACAGAAAGAAGTACTTTCTGTTCAGCCATCAAATGTCTACGACAGGAGAGTAGACAACACTGTGGCTATATATCTATCTATCTATCTATCTATCTATATATCTATATATATATATATATATATATCTAGCAGAGCTGATGAAATGATTGGTAACTGGTGTTGATTGCTGATTGTAGGCAGGTGTGTGAGCAGGGTGGAGCTGGATGCCAGGGAGACGACACAAACACAGGGAGGGAGGGAGGGGGGGGGGCACAGGGAAAGCTTGAGTTATGGCGTGACCATAAAATAAAGAAGTTTCTCAGAAATAAAGAAAGTAATAATTGCTAAAAACACATTTCAAACTTGATAGTAAATCCACCATGAACACACATAGACGTATTAGTCATTTGTATGTTTTTATTCGTCCTAGATGTGGTCACTGTGGTGTCGCCTTCGGTCGGGATCTCGGCGACGATCAACACCACCTACCGCTGCGTGAGCGCCTCCACTTTTGGACTCGGTGAAGCAGCTGTGACTTTCTCCGACATGAGGCTGGAGGCGTACATGCCGGAAAATGACCTGAGTCCAACAGGTACCATTCTGACTCTGATGTCTGAGGTTGTTTTGACCTGCGTCTCTACGGTCGATTACACGTTTGTCTGTCATTCCTCTCGTCACAGAAAGCGTGTGTGCGGCAGATCAGACCACCACTACAGCTCCACCTACCACTGCCGGTACGACGACAACCGCAGCTCCAGCACCGACCCCGCCGGGAACACCTGAGCGGGGCACCTACTCCGTGAACAACCGCAAGGGCATCGTGTGTCTCCTGGCCCAAATGGGACTGCAGCTCAACGTCTCCTATTTCTCTCTCTCTCAGAATAAGGTACAAGATGATGAATAAATACGGTCAGTCTACTCTGCGTAACAAACTTCAGGTAAAACCAAAGCTGTGTCTACTTTGCCAGACTATGCAAGACTTGGTCAACCTGACTCCCAATCTGACGCGTTCATCCGGATCATGTGAAGCCAGCAGTGCTTCCTTGGTTTTGACACAGGAGGGAAGCACCACGCTCAACTTCACCTTCACTCTGGTAAGACCATCCCTTTGTGACATTAGCTGCATGGTCAGATTGTTTATGTTTGCATGTATTTATTCAAACCTGTCTCCTCCCATCCACAGAACTCCACGAGCAACAAGTACCACCTGAGTGGGGTAACTCTCCTCGCTAATTTGTCAGACGCGACTGGTAGGTCATTTGTCATAAGCGACATACTTTTTTACTCGTCTCCGATTCGCTTAATTCAACTATTGCTGATCCGTCTGTCTCCACAGCTCCCATCTCAGCCAGCAACACTAGTCTGGACTACCTGCGGAGTACGCTGGGCCGCTCCTACATGTGCAATGCAGAGCAGACTCTGTTCGTCGTGCCAACCTTCTCTCTGAACACGTTCAGACTGCAGGTCCAACCCTTTGAAGTCACCACCGACCAGTTTGCCACAGGTAAAAATGCTTTCTTTAACCTGCTCTTATCCCAAGTTTTCCTTATGTGTCCTCTGACCTACATGTTGACAGTGATGGAGTCGGTAGCACTCTGCGGCATGGGGAAAGCTGCTTTAGTCTGATAATGGGAATTACAAAGATGCAAAATCCTGTAATACAATGTTAACTTGTATCTTTTTGTTTCCGTCTCCAGCGGAGGAGTGTCAGATGGACCAAGACCAGATGCTCATCCCCATCATTGTGGGAGCAGCTCTTGCCGGCCTGGTGCTGATCGTCCTCGTCGCGTATCTAATAGGCAGGAAGAGGAGCCATGCTGGGTACCAGACCATCTGAACCGGGGAGAGACGAGCCAGAGTGTGGAGACGAGCATGAGTGAATGGAAGCAGTTGGTAATGTGTGGCGAGTGCATGTTTTTTTGCATATCCTATGTGACCTCTGGATATTTTTTATTTTCCTTTCTCTGTGAGATGATGATGATGAGAAGCCAAAGACCTGCTAGCTTAAGATGGTTTGCATCCCGATGAAGCCCGAGAGGACAGAGTCTTTACACAATCAACGATGGAGGCAGTTGGAATTTTCTGTAGCGAGTTCACCGCCAGCTGCTGACTCTTGTTCCATTAAGTTCTCGGAGTTGGTTGAATTTGCTTGAACTGCTGTTTTTATCTGTCATTATTTATTTTTGAAAAAAAAATCTGTCAATATGCAATTAAAGAGGCAGGAGGAGTCAAATGAACTGTAGGACAAAGTTCCTAAACTGTAGTTCCTATAGTTTGTGTGCGCAAGTAAAAAAAAAATGTCAAGTTAGGTGGAGTTTTATTCTTATGACACATGCTCACTAGCATTTATTTTTGAAACCAGCTAAAGATAATTGTTCTCTAAGAAAAGGGAAAGCGCTGAGTGTCTTTTCCTGTCCTCTTCCTCCGCAGTGGAGACAGTCCCAAGTCAGATAAACAGTCTGGTAATTGTGATGATGAAGGTGGCGAGCTGCTGTAACTGCATGTAGTTGTCCAGCTGTACACGGAGTGCGACTGCATTACTAAAATGTATTAAACATTACAAGTGAACGGGTGCATGGATTATTTTTTCCATTCTTGCTTTTTTCCCCGACTTTCCCCTTAAAGAAATGTTAATATTAATTGTAGTGATTTGATCTTTTATTTGTATAGAAAATGGTTTGATCTCGTTTTCTATTATGCATCTTACTGAAAGTTAATAAAAATCCTAAAACTGCAGCAGTTTTTTTTTTTTTTTGGGGGGGGGGGAGATTTCATGCTACAGTACCTTTAGGCTTGAACTTGTGTGACATAAACATGGCTGACTACTCTGAGCTGTATAACCAGGAGTACATTATGCAGAATACTCACAGCCGGGATCAACACCAGTTATTTTTGACCAGTGCAACAAAATGTGATATCAGTACCACGATACCCAAACACAGACACACCTCTGTCAGAAAAAGAGAGCAGCGCTTTGAACTACACTTCATTCATTTCATCACAGTGCACTAGGTGCAGTTAATGATCGAGGATTGGAACTAAAGACTAAACACAACCAACAAGTACATGAATCAGATTTTAAAATGTTTGAACAAATACGTTCATGAAATCACTATAATTCACATTTGATTACCACAGCAAGTAGTACCAGCATGCAGTTCTGTCTTCATTTACCATTCAGTGGGAAATACAGTGGGCCTCTTGGCTGTGCTTACAGTGTGAAACACGACAAGCTTTTTCTCTACAGTGTCTCCGACTTTCTGGAGTAAAGTGCAAGATGTAACAAAAGAGGAAGAAACTACATGTTCATTTCAAATGGAATAGTCAGCTCGTACAGCACATTGCTAAGAATAATCTCATTTCAGCATGTATTTACACTTGGGCTGTAGGATGGTCTGAACATATGTTTAAGACAATAAACTCAACAGTATGTAGTAGTCACTGTGACATTTAGTCGGTAAAAAAAAAAAGGTGCAAACGAGCTGTGGGGTGCTCATCCCAGTGGAATGTGTATTGAGTTTGGGCAACAGGCAGTCGAGTTTGGTTCAGGACTCTTCTTCTGCTCCGAAGCGAGATCGACAGGTCACCCGCAGCTTAGTCAAGGTTGCCATGGAGAGACTTCCTGGTTCAATGAAGATGTTCTAGGAAGGGCAGGAAACACCAGGATTATGGGATTAAAGACAGTTAATAATAAGGGACATGTGTGAGTGGCGCTCTTAATGAGTGGTGATGGGATACCTCTCTTTTCTGTTACCTGCATGAAAGTGTGGCATTGGTCAACAAATGGTCCGTGGGTGATCTGCTTGAAGTTTTGGCAGATGTCCGGCAGTGACTGGGCCTCTTGAATCAGAGCCTGGTTGTGGTGCATCAGTGTCAGAGCGACACGGAACAGGATTTTAGAGCCCTCGTAGAACAGGCAATCCCAAATGCGCAGCACTGTCTGCAGAGAAACGGGAACAGAGAAGTAAATCCCACCAGTGAGCACATGCACAGGGACGCACAATGTGAAGCTCAACCTACTGTTTGAATAAACACTTGAACTGCAGGGCAAAAATATGAAAGTAAGACATTAGTATGAGGGCAAATCACTGGATTAAAAGTATAATATGTACCTCTGAGATGTAGTGGAGTAAAAGTACAATATGTACCT